TCGGACGAAAATATATATGGGAGTTTTATCTAAATCTGAACCGATTTCGTGCTATATCTAAATCAGAACCGATTTTCAGGAAATTTGGCACACATCATTCTACACCTAATATAGTATGCTGTAGCAAATTTCGTACAAATCGAAAGATATGTAGGGACTTTGGTGCACCATTTACATTAAATCGGACGAAAATATATATGGGAGCTATATCTAAATCTGGACCGATTTTCAGGAAACTTAACACACACAATCCTAGACGTAATTCATTACACTATGCCAAATTTCGTGCAAATCGTAAGATATATAGGGAATTTGGTACACCATTTACATTAAATCGAACCAAAATATATATGGGAGCTATATCTAAATCTGGACCGATTTTCAGGAAACTTAACACATATCATTCTAGACCTAGTTCATTGCGCTATGCCAAATTTCGTGCCAATCGATAGATATACAGGGACTTTGGTGCACCATTTACCTTAAATCGGACGAAAATATATATGGGAGCTATATCTAAATCTGAACCGATTTTTCCCAATTTAAATAGAGTTCGTCCTTGGGCGAAATAAATGAGCTGTGCCAAATTTAATCCAATTCTGTACTTCATTTACAATTTAACATGGACAGACGGACGGACAGACGGACATGCATAAATCCACTCAGAAAGTGATTCTATGCATATTTTAAAAAGGAACCCTACAAACATATGTACAAAGACATAATACCCTGTACCACAGTGTGGTGAAGGGTATAAAAAGCCAATATAAAGCCTTAAAAATATTTGTTTTAAAAAATCTTTGCCTTAAAAATTAATATGTTTAAAAAAGTCGACGTCTATCTAAGCCTTCAAAAAATCTTTTCCTAATTGAGACCTTTAAAAAATATTTTTAAAAATCTACGCATATTTGAGTCAATCACATAAGTATTTTTTAGTTCCCCTTCCATTTAGCGCTTTAACACATTAAGGGCCCTAAGTGAAGCCTACGCCTACTTTAAGTTCTTAAAAATTGTTTTTTACTTTGAACGGTGTTCATTTGATTTTACTCCAAATATAATTGCCTGCCTTCATCTAAGTACTCAAAACAATGTTTTTGTCTTCCGATAAATATGTAAACGATTTTATTCAATAAATAGTTAGAAAATATTTGCAACTGATTTTTATGAAAATATATTCGCAACCAGAACTTATTTATCTCATTGTAGTTAACATTTATTTAGAAATCGATGTTATAATTTTGTACAATATATGTTTCCCCTTCATTAGTCTATATAGATGTGTATATTTTAAATTACGCATGCAATTAATTATATATTTTCCACATTTTTTTTCATTTTCTAAATTTTATAGATTTTGCCATTAATATTTGAAATATTTATAAAGCTATTGAACACTCACACAATATTTATAGAAAGGATATTGAAAAAATATAAATATGTTTATTGTTTTATTCAAATTAATACCTAAACTAAATTTTGTTTTCTCTTTGTTTAACTGAATGATTTTTGAAGAACTATATTTGTTTAAATAATTATAAATATAAACACACTGCGCTACAAAATTTTAAGCAATATATAATGCATGTATATTTGTAGGGGACTCATTACAATGTATGGTATTTATAGAAGTCTTATGTATGTTATAGAACATATTTATTATACTGAAAAATCTAAAGAAGCAGAGAATGTACTTTAACACTAGAAAGACGGGAATTTTGTAAATACCTATATTGCCTAAAATCGGTAAAAATGACCTCATTCTGAAAGAATTTTTATTATGTAAAGAAATTTTTATAAACTTATTTTTTAATATTTTTTACATTATTTACAATCATACAAAACCTTGCTGTTATTTGTTTTCGGTGGTAGGGCTCTCGAGTTTCCCCTTTTAAAAAATAAGAGCGCGGACTAAATGTTCGAAAAGAGGAAGTCTTTACTCTAAGAGTGAAATCGAATGGAAATATAACATTTATTTTTCCCGATTTGTATGTTCGTTTGTGTTTCTAGAGTAGCAAACGGGTTTCGATGTTGTTGTAATGACCTGGTCATATAAGAAATTTACTTTATACAATAATAAAAGTAGTTTGAATATTTTATATTTCACAAAAGGTCAAAATTACCGCTTTTAGGCAATATAGGTATAGCACATGTGAATACGGGGATTGAAAGAGGGGAGGAAGCAGCTACTATGATTAATAAACGTAGTTCTATGTGGTACAAAAAATCACCAAATTTCAAAAAGCTGGGTCATAATATACACAATTGTTTTTGTACTTGAAATTGAAAAACGGTCAAAATGACTGCCTTCGGCAATCTAGTGCTAACTACACCATATTTTCAAAAAATTTCCTATATATGAAACAATTTTTAAGGCGACCTTAAAGGTATCCACTTTCTGAAGGACTTACAATTATATCAGTCATCAGAAAACAATTCTTTCTATAAAAGTCCTCCCAATGAACTGGAGATCCAAACAACATGAGTCCAGTTTCAAACTACAGTCCTCATATAATGCCCTCATGCACATTTCATATTTTGAAGATTTTAGGCACTTTTTCCAGCCGATATCAATAATCTCAAAACGAATTCTGAAATATTAAGAAAATATCGAATCAATTATGGCAACAATTTTGAATTTCTGTTGATGAGTGAATTATAAAATCTGCCTGAAAAAAAATTCAATATAATTTCACGATCCGATCCGTTGCCCATTGAATCGCCTTGAAGAAGCTGAGAGGAAGCATTTTGCTCAGAAGTATTTGGAACTGAAGGTAAACATTCTATAGACAATACTTAAAATAGGCTTCTATACTTATAGACAATATACACTAGAGAGCATCATTTGTGTAGAAATACTTCGAAAGCTGTGTCTTATTTAGAGGTTATTTTGATGGTGTTCTGCAAGTCTTAAAACAAAAAAAAAAAATCCAAGATATCAGTGAATTTAGGAGAAAAATTTGTTCTCAGAAATGTGCGGGGTTGAAGATAATCAAATTGTACAAAAAATCTAAAAACTCGGCAATTTATCGAAGTCCTAAATAATCCTTTGGAAAATTTTTATTAAAAACACTTTGATCCAGACTTAAAATGCCCTGAATTTGAAATAATCTACTATGGCCTCCAGGCCATTTAGTACGACTATAAAGTCACAAATCTGCTTGTCTATAAAGGGAATCAAGTTGACTAAATATATCCCCGTCCCCTCTATCTTATATAAAGACATCCTGAATTTAAAATATACAACACAGATCTGTCAGACCTTCTTCACAAATATAATGGCTCCTTTCAGTACTTTTACCTTGCATAGAGACTCCCTTCAGCTCGTCTATAGAGACTACCTTCAGCTCGTCTATAGATCGTCTACAGAGACTCCCTTCAGCTCGTCTATAGATCGTCTACAGAGACTCTTAGGCTTCTATACTTTTATAAAGACTCCAAACAGCCCGTCTATTCAACTCGCCTATAAGGACTTTTTTCAGCCCGTATATCTATGAAGGCTGCCTTCTCCTCGACTATAAAGATTTTCTTCCTCTATAAATTCTCCCTCCAGTTCATCTACAAATACTGCTAATAAATGTTTATACAAAGGACCACATGCCTTCAACTCTCTTTTTCTATTGACTACGTCTCTAAACACTACCATCTGCTCTTTTTTAAATACGACGCCTTCCTTCCGCAAATCTATAAAGACTCCTGTTAGTCCGCCTATAAATTCTTCTTTAAGTCCGCCCATAAAGACTCTCTTCAGATCGTCTTTATCTTCCTCCAGGCAGTCTACACAGGCTTTGGAGAAAGTAGCACGTTTGTAAAAAACCGCTGGCGCTCACATCATATACATTTAGCTTGTGAAAAGTCCTTCAGTTTATTTTCAAAAAGTCCTTCAATTCTTTAAAAACAAAACAACTGACTGCTTCAGAATACCTTTGAAATACTGTGGAAGTTCTTTATGTGATATTCTATTTACAAAAATGATCTAAACAGTCCTCTAGCCGTAAAAATATCATATATGCATGTTCTTTAGATGACATTTTTATATTGAAACTATTTATTTAAATATGAGATGTAGATATAGGGCAATTGGGCTTACGGTCCTTATCAAATATTGATAATTTTTATACTGCTCTGGAATATTTGTCATTTATAGAAAACCTCACATTGAAAGCATAGAATCACCTCAAAAAGTTTGTGTAAATCAAATTTATTATTATTGAAATTTATAAATCATTCACTTGTATATATTTTTGTACATTTGTAGCATAGTGTAGTATACAATTCTCCCCCTAATTTATTAGAATGCTATTCTACACATTCACACACACATATAATGTCCACCCGCCACCCCTATTAGCCATTGTAAAAATGTTTGCATTGATATTTTAATTTCTGTATACAAATGTATTTTGTTTTTTTGTGTTTAGCAATTATTTAACAAAATTTTTGAAAAATATTTAACTAACTTTTCAACTAATATCCACAGAGAACAACACAGCAAACCAATATACTATATGCTCACAACATATATCTAATATTCATAAACATAAAAACAAACATTATAATTATTATTATTATTAATTTTTCTTTTTTGGTCTGTCAACATCACATTTTTGATAACAAAAACCAACAACAAAAAATCCATCAAAACAAAATCAAAAACATCATTTAAGTAATTAGTGATTATTATATTCGTTGTATATTCGTCGTCGTTGTTGTTGTCATTTAACGTCAAATCATCATTTTTTTTATAATTCATACAAATTGAAACAACATTTCACAAAAATCAGCAACATACAAACAATTATGACATAATTATTTCTTCATTTCTATTTTTTTTAATCATACAAATTTTATATATGAAAACATAAATGCATTTTTGGCATATTCAAATGAAAATTAATTAATTTTATTTCTTTTTTCATTTTTTGTTTCACCCCTTACCTTCTTCTTTTGTTTTATTCTACGGGCACTCAATTTCGTGCCGTTTGCTGGTGTACAATAAATAGGGTTCCGATCTACCCATCTATATATGGTATGAAAGCTATCCCGAACACATTGAAGACGGCTATAAGGGACGCGTCTCACGTGTGGCACCGGACTCACCGTTCGGTTCGGCTTCACTTAATTTGACCAACATCAAAGAATCGGATCAAGGCTGGTACGAGTGTAAAGTTGTATTTTTAAATCGTGATCCGAAACAGCATAAGAACGGTACATGGTTCCATTTAGATGTACATGCACCGCCCCGTTTTAGTGTAACACCAGACGATATAATATATGTTAATTTAGGTAAGTAGAATGGCAATTTGTATATTAATTAATCTTTTTAAATTTATAATTAGAAATAATTTCTATGAGAAATAAGATACGAAAGTAGGTTAAAAAAAAAACGACAGCATAAACTCGTATTTTAATTTTAAAACTTCTTAAGGCAAAATTCGATTTTAAGTGCTTCTAAAAAACCTTCAGATGTATAATGGAAGGCATTTATTGTTTAGAGTCTGTAATAAGCCTAAATAATATTTCAAACTTTTGTTTTAACAAAATTGAGACTTTTTAAATAAATAACTTTCAAAACGACCCTTCTCTAAAATACATTCGGAAAGACTACATCCAATTGTGTTGGTGTTTCCAACACATGGGTTCAGTTATATTTCATTTTCACATTTAAGACTTTGTGTTTTGGATCGTTTTTTACATGATGTCTGGTCCTCAGATCGTCTAGTCTTTTATAAAAGCAGTCTTCTCTTTATACCTCAGTATGTCTAGAAATAAATATTTGTCTTCAGTTCTTCTATAAAAACTCCGTCAGCTCATCTCAGACCTTCACCTTATGTTAAAATATTCTCTAGCCTTCAGGTCATTTATACGCCATTAAGGATTGTCTACTTTCTGGGACGCAGTGTGTCGAGAAAGAAACCCTGGTATTCACTTCTTCTATAAAAGTTCCGTCATCTAAGACCTTAAACTCGTTAAAAAGAAATTCTCTGGCCTATAGGTCATCTATACAAACAGTCTGGCCTTCAGTTCAGTCTACTCCCTGGGAATCAACTTGTCTAAAAACAAACCTTTGAAAACAATTCCGTCAGCAGACCTTAAACTCGTTTAAAATACTCTCTGGCATTCAGATCATCTAAAAAACTAACTACTCATTAGAACCCTGTATTTCAGCTCCATGATCTTCAATACTAGAAAAAAACTACAATCCCTGACGTCGCCTACGAAGACTCTTTCGTCTTCAGGTCGTTTATAAAAAAATCATATTTTGCTGTTCAATAAAGACACACTTCAGTTTGTCTATGGACAATTCTTTTATAAGCAATCTTTTATAAACAGCTCCTGAAGACTCTCTCCCTCAGTTCGCCTATAGTCCCAATTTAGCTAGTCTTCAGATACTCCCCTGTGATCGTCTATTTATATTTCCTTCCACTCGTTTATATAGACTCCTTTCATCTTTTCATTAAATACTCTTCATAGCTTGTCTAAAATACTAGCTATCCTTCAGCTCGCCTATAAAGACTTCCTTCAGCTCACTGTAAAAACTCTCTTTATCTACCCTCAGCTTGCCCATAAAAACTCCATTCAGCTCTCCAAAAATAAAACTCTGTTTAGCTCATCTATAAAGACTCCCTTCAGCTCGTCTATAGAAACTTCTACCAATTCGCCTACAAACACCCCGGTCATCTATAAAGACTCATTTCAGGTCATCTATAAAGACTTTAGAATTTGTCTATATAGACTCTTCCATTAATACTCTTTTCAACTCGACTACAAATACTACATTCAACTCCTCTTCAGATATTCCAAAGTTTATCTATAAATACTCCCTCCAGCTAGTCTGTGATGATTATCCGCAGTTCGCCCAAGCAAAGGACTCCCTTCGCACTCACATTGCGTGTTCTTCCACCTTTCCATACCCATGCAATTTTTCATTCCATTTCTCATTTTGATTTCATTAATATCCTCTAGCATTACCATTTCCTTAACTATTTGCTCTCATATTTTTCTTTTTTTCCTGCCACTTCAAATAGTTAATAAAGTAAATTTTTGCTGCTGCCGTTGTTGTATATCTTTCAATTTATTATTTTCTCACAGCGTTCGAAGGACTTTTATTTTTGATTAATAGCGAAATTGCGTTTGATAACGCAAACAATTTTGATATATTTCTTTCATAATTCACGCAAAAAAATGTGCGGCAAACATCTCAGACCACCCACCAATGTTCAGATTACACAACTTAACCATTACTACTTGAATTTGAGACGAAACCAATTTTCCATGAAAAGAAGAAAAAACACCGGAAAATAATCACACAAGGTTGAAACATAGAACTTCGAAGAACGGGCAAGAGGTTACTTCACAACAACAAAAAATAAGAAAAATCTCGTGGGTGCAAAAAGAACGAATGAACGGAAAAATGTTACGTTCAATTACTTGGGAAAACTAATGTTTTCATATTCATCATAATGACACTTTTTTCACACGTTTGCCTCATAAATATTTATGGAATTGTGAGCTGAATACTTCATTCATTGATGCATACATACAAACAAACACCGAGGAGACATACATATACAATATAGCTGTAGGTGTCTATTTTAGTTATTCAGGTAGGCTAATGTATCAGGAAAGGAAAGAAGGAAGAGGGTTGGAGGGATGGTCATAAAATATATTTTTACGGAAGGACTTGGTAGAAGAAAACGACCAGATAGAGAAGATGAATGATGACGAGCGCATCACTGCCAGGATGACAATCTTTTGCTTACATTCAATAACTTCCTTCGTTGCTTGTTTTCATCTTTATCATACAGGTTCAAGTGGGGCTATGTATACACATGTAGGGATATGAGCTACTCCAGAAGAAATGGCTAAACATTTTCAATTCTGAAATAATAGGGTCGGTGTGAAGAATGATAGGAGATCCAAATCAGCATTATATATACATTACAGAGGTATTGAAATCTTAAATTCTGTTAACGATGTTAGAAATTATTTAATATGACCGTAACCATTCCTGGTCATAAGCTGGACTCACTTGTCTGGTATTTGCCGACCCATTCGCCTTTATAAAATCTATAATGACTTATTGACTTTAGGACGTCATGGTCTCCAGCTGGACTGTAGAGGGTTGCCCATATTCGACGGACCCATGCTTTTTTTAATCAAAGCAAAAAATAAAAATTTGGCAGTTGGCAATGTTAATCATTTAATTTGTTCCAAGTAGATTTGTTTACATCAATTTTTGAATATGATATCTTCTCTCAAATGGCCGCCTCTGCCCTTTTTCCTGCATTTTCCATCGTTTTTGCCAACATTTCGGCCGGAATAGCGGCTATTTCTTCACGAATGTTGTCCTTGAGCTTTGACTTTAAATATCCCCACAAGAAGAAGTCAGGCGGCGTCAAATCGGGAGAACGCGGTGGTCAGTCCAAATCACCACTTTTCTACATCAAACGGCCCGGAAACAAATTCTTCAGAAAATCGATTGTTATGCGACTTGTGTGCGGTGGAGCGCCGTCTTGTTGAAACCAGAACTGCCTCATACGCTTTCGACTAATAATTGGCATCACAAAATTGGTCATCATGTCGCGATAACGCTCCTGGTTGATGATAACAGCATGGCCATTTTCATTTTGGAAGAAAAACGGCCCAATGACCGTTTTCGCCTAACGCCGCACCAAACTGTGACTTTTTCGTCATGAAGAGGCACTTCTTGAATCTCCTGAAGATTTTCAGTGGCGTAAAAACGGCAATTCAATGTGAAATGGGCTTCATCGGACATGATAATTTTGTTCCAAAATTACTCGTCATCTTCGGCCATTTCGATGACTCTTTGGACCCATTCCAATCGACGAAGCTTGTACGCAGGCAACATTCTTTGCGTCAATTGAATTTCGTACGGGAACAAATGCAAACAAATGCTACTTTTTCGTCATAAAGAGGCACTTCTTGAATCTCCTGATTTTGAGTTGCGTAAAAACGGCAATTTTGCTTATTTACGGTCCCATTCAATGTGAAATGGGCTTCATCGGACATGATAATTTTGTTCCAAAATTGCTCGTCATCTTCGGCCATTTCGATGACTCTTTGGGCCCATTCCAATCGACGAGGCTTGTACGCAGGCAACATTCTTTGCGTCAATTGAATTTTGTACGGGAACAAATGCAAATCAATGCGAATAATCCGTTGTAAAGTGGACCGAACCATGAACAACTGCTGAGAACGGCGGTTTTGGGATGTTCTTGAGGACCACTCAACACTGGCTCGTACGGCAGCGATATTCTCGGCCGATCGCCTTGGTCGACTTTTATATGGCCTCTTCGGATTAGAAAGAGCCTTACCAGTCGAAAATGTTTCGTATAAACGCTTAATGGTGTTCTTAGAAGGCGCACTTCTCACCACGTTGAGTTTTCACAATTGACTTCTTCTGTTGAATGTAAATTTCAACTATTTCAGAGCGCTCGCGTGGCGTGTATTGGTTCATGTAAAAATCTGCTTGGACTGACGCTTCAAACGCGGTATGTCATTAAGTGATGTGACATCTCTGTCAAAAGTTATGGCGTTGCCAGATGGGTCCGTCGAATATGGACAACCCTGTAAATTTCCTGGTCTTTAAAGTCGAATAGACAATCTGTATGGGCTTCAGGTGGTTTTAGAGGACTCCCTTGTGGCCTTGTCGATATCAATGTTTACCCAGTTGTTTCACTAGCCAGTAAGAACTCACTAGCCTTCATTTGGTCTTTACCAGATCACTTTCCTTCCTGGCCTTCAAGTCGAATAGAAAATCCACATGGTATTCAGATGGTGAACGAGGACTGCCATGTGGCCTTTCCAGTTTTGTTCACTATGAGGTAAGGACTAACTGGCCTTCAACTCGTCTTTACTGATCTATTCGCTTTTATCAGATCTGTAGGGACATAACTGGTATTTAGCTGGCCTTTGGAAAATCGTTAGCA